AACAAAGATGAGGGTGAAAATGTTCTTAGTGGTGATGATCTACAAGTATATAGATAGCTAGAAATGTTTTTTTCTGCATCCCCATTCAAATTTTCTTGTAACGAGAGTGAAAGTAGTAAGGGTATTTTTGTCTTCACAATTCTCTATTTGTTTCTCATTTATTCTTAAAAAAAATACACATACTAGGATTTGAACCGTGGTCATTTTCAACTATGATAAGAATCTTAATCAATCATACTACATAGATTAGTTGTATCATTTTAAATTAAAAACATACATGAAGCTAAAATTAAAAAATCACAGAACTTTTCAACGGTTAGCTAAGGTCGGTAAATCTTCGCTCAGTACTTATTGGTGTTTTGATACTTCGATTTTCATATTTAATTATTTTAATTATACTTTAATATTTAATTTTAATTTCTATTTATCTTATAAATAGACGATGACTTTAAAATCATAGACCAAGTATCATTGATCCAATATTATATATCGAATTGCAATATCGAATGTGTAGAAGCGATGTTGAACTCCTCCATTAGTATTAGTTTATAGAACTACTATGAGGCAATCATATTCATATCTTTCTGCAAACTACATGGGGACGGGTTCTTTGAACGTTTTTAGCTCGGTTAACCGTTAAGTTTTCAACATCTTCCTAATCGGACAACATGATGGATCCAACAATCATTAGAAGAGGTTGAGTTTAATAGTTTTGTTTATTTCATCTTTTTATGTATTAAAATGAATTTGTAGAGCAAGGACATGTCTACATATACACTCTACACAATATATACTATTGGCACGATAAAATTGTTATCTCATTTCAAATTTCCTACAACGAGAGCAAAAGTAGGAATGACATTTTTGTCTTCGCCATTATTTATCTTTATTTTGTATAGAAAATGGACATGTATTGGGATTTGAACTAATGTATCTTCAAACACAGACAAAAGTCATAACCATGATTTTCAATTCGAGTATGACTCTGTTGATCGAACCAATTCTATCAAAACCTGAGTATCTTAGCCGGTGCCGAAGGCCCAGTTGGTTGTCTACTTAGGGTGGGTCAAAGTCGATTTTGTCTATCTTAGTGGGAAATCCAACCGATTTAACCAACTGATTCGAGCACCAGCCACTTCAAAATGATATTGTTTTCAACAATTCGTATACGTAGCTACACTGTCATATCATCCTTTTACTTATCACATAACCTTACAACATAAAACATCACAGACCATGTTCGACTATCTCATCGTATCTTCTTCTTACTTTAGATTTGAGAGCCTACAATACACTACCAAACCATATCAAAATCTATCATAATCCCGCAATGGAAAATTTAATTTTTCTCCGACTGCATAGTCATAGAGCGAGTCGACCTCATCTCATACAAATACGAAGCAAAAATTATTAAGATGCATTTGAGTTGAAACTTTAGGTGACTAACAAAGGCCAAATTCCTTATTTTAATTATTATTTAATACTTAATTAAATTCCTATATATCTTATAAATAGAGGATAACTTTAAAATTGCGGCCCAAATATCATTGGTTAGAATATTCCATATCAAATTGCAGTGTTGAATATGTAAAAGTGATGTATAATTCTTAAATTAGTATTAATCTTTAGACCTACTATTACACAATTGTATTCATATCTTTGTGTAAACTATACGGGGCTGGTTCTTTGAACACTTTAGTTCGGCTAACCTTCAAATTTTACACCTTTTCCTATTCTGAAATGATTGGATCCAAATATCATTAGGATTTTAATAAGTTGGTTCATTTCACCTTTTTTCAATGTACTAATGAATTTATAGGGAAAAGACATGTCTTTATATACACTCTACACAATATATAATACTAAAATGAGAAAATTGTTGTCTCATATCAAATTTCCTACAACGAAAATGAAAGTATGAATTATATTTTTGGTTCATAATTATTTTACAGAAACTACAAACTTCCAAAATCCAGAAATTGTTGCTCAAACTAAAAATCAGAGTATCGAAAATCAATTTTCACGAATTTTATTTCATATATCAATTATTTGAGAGATTTTTCTCTCTATAAACAAAGTAAAATGAAACAAGTTATAGCCAAATCAACAGCTTTGGCTCGAAGACGATGACCTACTTCTTCATGGGAGAAAGACATACATGCGGTACCGTCATAGATCTCGAGAGCAAAGACGAAAAGGATACACTACGAGTTTGTGAATGAGTACTGTAAAATAGATCATCAAATCACGCGTTTGAGGCTGAATAAAATGATAGGAGAGGTTTGTTAGATAGCCGCTCATATAGAATTTGCCAATTTGGTATATCTACAGGAGATCTCCAGAGTCGGCTTAGCAAACAAAGAATCGAAGGGGATGAAAAAGATATAGACTCTTTTATCAACAACTAATTGAGTGCATGGGGGCGGATAAACGATGCATTCATTTCTCTTTCCCTTTTAAAAAAAATAAAACAAAATAGCATCGAAAACATTTTTGGGTTTCTATTCACCTTTTGAAGTTTGTTCTTTTTCTGGTCTAATCAGATTATTTAAAGCTATTACTCTACTAAAATAATTTTATTTTTTTCCCTGCATTGGTATAATATTTTGACCAAAACATGTTAGTAAGTTAAATGATATATTAATTAAAATAATATAATATTCACGCGCTTTCGGGGCACTCAAATTATAATTCTTTAAGAGTATACACTTTTACGCTCCCATTCTAGCTCCTGCGATCTAGCTCCCTCTCCGCGAATTGGTAAGATAAATCCGTCAATTGAATTGTGTTACTACTGGAAGAACTCGCCTTTCATCACATATTGTCTTCCCTCGCAAACACCCCCATGCTCAATTTCCACTTGGTCGTTACTCATTAATTCCACTTCTGACACACATCACCACCATAGGAAAAGAGTGCGACCTTCATCGCATGACGAATGTACATGTTGTTGGAGTGCATTTTACGAGCTCGAAAGAGGATAGCAGAAAATAGCAGATACAGAAACAAATGTAGATAGTCCGGTCGAGGAAGAATATTATTCATATGTAGATGACATTTTATATAATTTATAAATATATGAACAATATAATAATTTTTTCATATATCCGGGCAAAAGTGGCCAAAACAATTAGACCATTAATCCTCAACCCACTTAATCGACTGGGCCAATGGGCTAAACCAGGTTGACAACTTTTGATACTTGAAATCCATATATTCTAAAAAATTTGGGTTCCAATTTTTATGATTGAGTCAATCGATCAATAATTGTGGACTTTTCAGAGAGTGGTTGAAATTCAAAAGTCGGTCTTCAAGGTTCTTTCGTGACGGATGGAGGATGCGATTGTGGCTATTAATTATTGGGAGTTGCAGATGGAGAAGATAAGCCATAAAAGATATTAAATTTAATTTGATTGACCTATATACTATATATTACAACGGCATGTTTGATGTGAAAAATAAAAAATGGATAGATTTGAGAAAAATGGATAATAGAGTGACAATTTATTCTATTAACTCCACATGAAAAGTCAAAGATTGTATTGATAGAGTAGAATTTAAGTTTTTATAATGTTTAATTTTCGTAACTTTTGTACATGCATTCATAACTAACACTTAACAACCTCGACTTATTATTCAATCAAGCCTATACACTAAATTCTAATAATTTATACAATAAGCATTATGTTTCGTGTTCTTCCATATTTGAGATTTCTAGGCATAATCTTTTCGTTATTCTCTTGATTTTTTTATATACCTTCAATTCCTACCATTCTAGATGACATATATTTTGTTTCAACTCCAACTTCATATCCGATAATAAAAAGTTCACAAATTTCTGCTAAGATATGAAAAAAATACACAACAGTAAATTAGGAGGACTTGATAATAAAGTACATATTAACTCATTATCGGTAATGTCATAATCAGCAAATACCATAAAGATTACTATGAAATAATAAATTAACTATTTTAGAAACCTCAACTTATTTAAAAACATGAAGAGATTTATCAAAATAAAATAAAATAAAATTCATCAGAGCAACGAATCGGGTTACTATTTTAAATATAATTATAAATTAACCAATATTAATGATAAAATGAAACTCATTCGGCCAAGGGCCGAGTAAAAGCTAGTATAGTATAAGAGAGGATAAACTTCATCACTACGACAGTATAGTTGGTGGCAATGTAGACAAAATTGAGTTTCTACGCGTAGAAGCGTTATGGTGATTTAGAAGTGTAAAATCGTAAGTTTTTAAATCTTAAAGTGCGTTATTAACTACATTAGTTACAAAAAGTGCGATTTTGCGTAGAAGCGTTTTGGTGACAAAAAAATGTATAAACGTAAGTTTTTAAATTTTAAAGCACGATTTTTTACTACATTGGTTGGTCTTGATGATGATGACATGGATGCAAAGGGTGAAATTGATGCACTGATGTAGTTTCATTTCTATCATTTAGACAATTTGATTTAGTTGTGACAATTTGGATTGTTAAACTTGTGTTATGACTTGTGATTGTAATTGTGGAACTTATTGTTTATGTATTAGAATTTGGTCCATTATAGAAAAAGTTTGTTAAATTAGCTTATCAGCATGAGTAGTGGCATTTTTTAAACGAGACATAAAGTTTAACCTAAGTCTGATAAGACTGTATACATAAACTTACAATCTTGCACACTATGCTTTCATATTTTGCGCTTTTATTCATGTTCTCGCTTCTGAGTAGAAACACGCATTAACTGCATTGCATAAAACGTACATATAACAAGGTTTTGCTAGAACAGAAACCTACGTAGCGGCCAGTCTAAGCCTTTTCTTTATATCGAGGAATTCCATATAGGAACCACTTAGCAGTACCCGAATGACAATATAACAACAAAAGCAACACATAACATTCATTCGTACGTACATCTCCATCTCCATTTTCCAGTAGCTCGGTAACATATTCTTTAATTAGTTTCCGGGCGATGGTGTAACCCTAGCTGCGGATGGAACTTAAACCGGAACGCCAGCGACTTTGGGAAGCCCGGCTACGCCTGGAACTGAAATCGGAAGTGTAACTCCGGATGGAACTGCAACTGAAACCGGAATTGAAACCGGAATTGAAACCGGAACGCCAGCGGCGGCTGGAACTGAAACCGGGAGTGGAGGCAGATTCGGCAGCTGGAGAAGCTGGCGAGCCGCCATTCCAACCTCCACGTTTGAGAACGAGACAACAAGGAAGACAGCAAATAGGAACAAGATCGGGGACTTGGAAGCGACTGCCATATTTTTTTTCAGGGACTGAGACTGGAGAGAATGGCAACTTCAGTTAAACTCTGAGATGGTCAGCTTGCGTTGTGGTGCGTTTCCAGTTTGGTGTTAGGGTTGTTTATATAGAGAAAGCTGAGGGACGTGGTTTATGAAACAAGAGAGGTTGGGGATAGGCAGTGGCCCATCGAGAATGTTTGGCTGTGTCGGTTGATAAGAACAAATTAATCAATACAAATATTAAATAAGAGGAATTTTACAAAGATATATAGTATTGGTGTTTTAGTTTTTTTTTTGTCTTTATGGTACAACTTGAAGTTGTACTTTTAACATTATGGTCAATGTAGTTAAAAGCGAGTTTCTACGTAGAAACGTTTTGGTGATCTAGAAGTGTAAAATCATAAGTTTTTAAGTTTTAAAGCAGAGTCTTTAACTACGTAAGTTATAAAAACTGAGATTATGAGTAGAAGCGTTTTAGTGACCTAGAATCGTAAAATCGTAAGTTTTTATGTTTTAAAGCGCGATATTGACTACATTGGTTATTGTACAACTTCAGATTGTACCTATACTCTTTTGTACAAATTATTTTATGGTACAACTTGAACTTATACTTTTAGTGTTCGTACAACTTGAAGATGTAAAGTTGTACTATAACATAATAGTACAAATTCCTTTATGGTACAACCCGAACTAATACATTTAATGTTATGGTACAATTTCAAATTGTACAATAAATCACCAATATTTTATAACATAGTAGAAGTGCTCATTAACTAAATAAAAATTTAATATGGGGAAGTTGAGAAACGAAAAAGATGGCGACATGCGACATCATGAAAGCTTGAAAGAGAATGGGGTGCCGACAATTGGAGGTTGGATCAAAGAGCAGAAACCTTCAAGACAGTGGGTTAAGAATTTTTCCCTCTTGACACTCGACTGATATACAGAGAAGCGAGAGGAAGAAATTTGAATTAGAGTAAGAGCATGTATGAGTTTTAGTGTCAGATGTAGGGAATTTTTGGCGACCAAAAAAGAGATATGAAATTTAAAGGAGTAAGGAAACGTGTCGTTTTAATTAAGGGTGGGTGAGGTGTCTTGAGTTTTTTTTAACAAAATAAAAATCAATTTAATTTATTATAATCAATTAAAATTGAAAAAATATATAACTTTATGACAATAAATTTTTACAGTATAATGAAAATGTATCGGCCACAATTATCAAAGTTGTGTCAAATGTCTTAAGTTCAAATTTTTTGTACTAACGGAACTTGAATCTCACAAAAAAAAATCGAGTAGAAATATCTTTAACACTTGGGTCCGCCACTGGAAATAAGTTGTTACCTGTGATGCAGGGTACATGGACAGCAATTTCTACAGCGAGATTTCAAAAAGATTGCATTGGCTACATGCCAATGCCATGCACATAGACGCCGAGCCACAACTTGTTAACATCTTTCGTAGTTTTATTGATTGCTCCAGCTGGTTACTTTTGTCCTTTTCAACTAATTATTGTTTTCAACTGCATTGTAAAGGGGGAGAGATTATTCAACGAAAAAGAGTGGAGATATTTTGTTGCATGCTACAGTCTACAGTCGCAAAACTTGTACGTCGGCTAGGAAGACAACAATAGTTCTGATCTCGTCTTTGTGTTCTATTAGTGGACCCATAATCACTCGCACATTGATCCATAATCCTTTGTAATTAGGTGCAGAAGTGAGATACTATTTGTACCCTTTGTTTCGTTTGAAATGCCATTGTAGTTGGAGTACTTTTAAACATTAAACATAGTTCAAAGTACAAATTGGAAGGCTAAATACCAAGAGATACTAAATCAGCTGAACATCAGACTGATCAAGGCTCAAAAGGAGCAACACGCAAGGATCAGAGACAGAGAACGAAAGAAGCCAAAGAATAACAGCAACAGAAGTACAATCCATTTCTCTGCCTTTTGGCTAAGATCAAGTGCAGAAGTACAATTCCTTGAATCCAAGTCAACCTAGCTAGTGTATTGAGCCTTTTCGGTGCTGCTGCTTGTAGCCTTGTACTGAAATGGTTGTGTCCTATACTTGCAAGGAGGCTGTTTCGGAAGCTCCTGTTGGAAATGGTGAATAGGTTTGAAGCTAAATGTGTGTAAAGATTAGTTTTCTCTCTTAAGGACATGCCCTTAATTGGGGTAACCACTTTTGTGGGAGGATAACTCCTCACCCTTTCAGGATGAACCACACATGCATGTATTCTCCGACCAGCTAGTCGGTTTATCGATTGGGTGGGTCACTTTGAGATCCAAAATTAATTATTGCATATCCTTAACAAATATCTTAATTAAGAAGGATAATTAATAGAAAGAGAATATTCCTGAGATAATTTGATTAATTATCTTACCATACATGTTTTTAATTAAGGAGATATTGTCTTCCTAATTAAATGTTACTTATTCCCCAACCCCATGAATAAATGTTAATTATCAATACTCATACTCGTTCCGCACCAAGTGCGGGTCAGGTATGGAATACTCAGCCCTGGTTTCAGTGGTTCCTATTACTGTTGTGGAGTCTGACCAAGTTAATACGCTACCTACTACTGCAGACTGCAGTTAATGCGATGGTGGATGAGGAGGGTTTTAACCTTGTTGAGCATAGAAAAAGGAAATCTAATCATACTCAAGCATCATCAACTAGAGTTCATAGATAACCATTTCTGGATGCCACTAACTTCCCAGCGTTGCAGAGATCCAATACAGTGCAGAAGGCCCCATCTCCTCCTTCTCCCCGGGGTAGAGGTAGGGGAAATAAGTGAGGTAAATGAAGATTTTGAGCTGGAATGTCAGGGGGTTCAATACCCCTGACAAGCATTCAGCTGTTCTTAGAAATTTGAGTTGAGACAGTTGAATATATATATAGCTACTATATTAGAAACTCGAGTAACTAAGGATAATAGTAAAAAGATAGTGAATAAGTCCTTTTCTTCATGGACATTTGCTGATAACTATAGTAAGTCTAGCTCTAGTTGTGTGTGACTCTTCTAGAATCCACGCTTGAAGGTGAAAAAAGTAGATGAAGAAGGGGAGCATTTTCTGAAAGTTCGGATGGAGGGACAACAGGCATATCTAATGTTTGTCTATGGCTCTAATGGAAAAGCAAGATAGATGTGTGATGTATAGAGAACTTCAGTGCATAAGGAAACCAATATTCCTTTTGTTGTGTTGGGAGATTTTAATGTGATTGCAGATCCTACAGAATCTTCTAATGCAGTGGATAGATAGAATATTGTAGCTGGTTAGTCATAAAGTTTTGGGAGCTTGGTTTACTTGGTGGAACAAGCAGAAGCTGAACCATATGGCTAAGCGCATTGATAGAGTATTTGTTAATGAGGCATGGTTGGTTTCCTTCCCTTCTAGTATGGCACAAACTTCAGCTCTAGGGATATCTGATCATTGTGGGCTAGTTCTTCATGCTGACCCGCAGTTGGCTACTTTACCTATGCCTTTCAAGTACTAAAAATTCTGGAGCACCAACCGTTCTTATTTCGAGCTGGTTGCTGAAGCTTGGAGTATTGAGAAGGAGGGTTTCCCGCATTATATCTTCTATGGCAAGTTGTGGGAAGTAAGGTCTAGGCTTAGAAAGCTCAACAAAGAGGTACACTGGGATATTTTAGGGCATGCAAGAGATCTTGAGAAACAACTAGAGACTCTTCAGTATGAGGTGCTGTCTAATCCTAACTCTGGTAACATCGAGGAAGAGGCAGCTTTAGCTAAGCGATGTCAAGAGGTTCCAAAAGCAGAAGATCAATTTTAACAGTAGAAATCTCGGGCACAGTAGTTTCAAACTGGTGATATGAATGCCTCTTTCTTTCATCGGACATTGCAGGTTAGAAGACATAAACAACAGATAACTATACTAAAGGATGCATAGGGTTCTAATGTAAGTGATGTGTCACAAATGGGGAGGATTGCAGTAGATTTTTGTACTCATTTGACTGGTGAGGTGGATCAAAATGTTCAGGGGCTCCATGTTAGTTCTATGAGTCTATTCTTACACATAAGGCCTCTGCTTGTGATAATGACCTGCTGAATAGAAGTATTACTGAATAAGAGATTCACACGGTCTTTAAACAGTATTACTGAATAGAAGTATTACCCAATTAAATGTCATCATTGCAAATGCGGGTAATCGCCCTCTCATCTTGGTCAATACATCATTATATTTCGTTCCATACAATGGTAACAAAACATCTTTATTACTATATCATGATTAATCAAACCATTTGCAAATAAATTAATAAAATTTAATTATATAATCGTGAAATTTGCAAGCGAGAAAACTTTTCATCTCGAGCGACTTTGCTCTTGGTGAATCCAAGTATTCGAGAAGTCGTTAATTTTGGGAGAAGGTGAAATTCGTGAAAATTTAATCACTGTATTTTGTTGCACGTTAGAAGTTAGAAGTTTCAAATAGAAAAAGGGATTAATTATCATTTGTTTTTTTGGTAAATAAGTGACTTAGACGGATGCACTTCAACAACTAATTTCAACCAAAATACTACAAAAGCTAAATCAATTATTAAGGATGGAGATGAGTTAAGTATCAATTTTGATTAAAGGACCCATTAACTATCAAATGCTAACATTTTATGTAATATGTAGGGACGTATGTATTCCGTCAAATACAAAGTTGTCAAAATTAATATAGGTGGTGCTACGCTGGATGTGAAACCTGTCTATAAAAGTAACAGTTTCTATTGTTGTTTATGTCAGTACTAACATTATACTTATTTAGGATCCACCTTCGAATTGGGGAAAAAACACCTGAGGCTAACTTTGTTGTTATGCATCAAGTGGGAGATGAGATTTTTTGAATGTCGGCTGAAAGGCTATTACAAAAAATGATATAATGAGAGGATTAGCATCTACTCATCTCTTACAAATTGAGGGAATGGTATTGAAGTTCTATATCAAACTCACATATTACATCATCGTTAATCCAACAAGTGAGTACACAATTTCCAGGATTGGAAATGAT